CTTTTTTGTGGTCTGAAATTTTTTTTTGCTGCCGATCTTCGGCGTTGACTTTTTCAATTTTATTTTATTATCTTTTTTTTTCTCTCTTTTCCACCGCCGGTTTTCGACGCTGATTTCTTTTAGTGACTTTTTCCCCTAAAATTTCTAATTGTTTTTTTACCCCACCGCTAAACGTTGACTGTGATTGTACTGTCATTAAAAATAATTGTACCGTTATTATATATTATTATTTTGGGCTCCGGGTTTAAAACGGGCTTAGATTGAACTTATAATGTCGTGTTGTCTGTAAAGTTTAATAAAAACGAGTTTTTTATGAAATTTTCGGTTTCTAATCATTGCACATCAAATAAATATTCTAAATCAATGAAAAAAGTAAATATTTGTTATTTAAAAACTTTTAAATTCATAAAATTGCTTTTAAAATATGTTTGAGAACAACTTTAAACTGATGAATCTAAATTTAGAGTGTACTTGGCTAAGCTTATTTTATACAGCTTATAAGCTCTTACATCTGATAAGATGTTTTAGAGTTGATAAGTTGTTACATCTTATTTTTAGGATTATCTATTAGAGTGTTTGGATAATGAGTTTATTTCCTATTTTACTCATTATAAGATCTTAAATAAAAAGGTGGGGTAGATGTATTTTTTTAAAAAAATTCTATTTTCTCTCCATTAGCTTATTTAAAAAAATTAAGATATTTTAAAAAAAAAATACCAAACATTTTGGAAGAGCTTATAAGCTTTAAAACATTTTATAAGCTTATTTTAACAACTTATAAGTTTAGCCAAACACCCTCTCAATTATTTATTTATCACCGAAGAATGTTTATGTCCGTTAGTTGTATAAAACAAATGTTAAGAATTGTGTTGAATGATGAATTCAATAAATAATTAAATTATTTATTTAATTCGATTTTATAAGGGTTGAGCTATAGTAAACTCAAACTCAAACTCAACTTATAAAATTTTCGGACTTGATAAAATGACTCAAAACTCAGTCTAATTTACAATAAATTTGGTTCGACTTAAATAAAACCGGGGACGAGTTATCGAGCTTTGGGTAGACCCGACTCAATTGTTGATACTAGTCTCTACAAATAAATGTCATACAAAAAGTTGCGACATTCCTCAAAACATGAAATAATTCACCGCCACTTAATTCATGTAATTTTAATATAGATAATATAGAATCAAAGATTTACATAAATGATTTGATAAATTCTAGTGTGAAGATATGTGTTGCAGTGAAAGTACCGACAAAAACTTTATTCAAACAATGTTCGAAGAATACACAAAGGGAAATTATGATTTTCGATTTTATGAAGAAATCACAAGTTGATTTCTACGTTCAAGAATTTCTAGAATCGACGATGATCATGTCTAACAGAACTCTAGAGATGCAGAATAGTATTCAATGATATTGAACAAACAGACTCAATTATGTGGTGAGAAACATACCAACGAAAACAAGGTGTTGTAGAAGATGTTCTAACACCCAAAGCGCTTTGCTCTCAACTCTCTTCAGAAATAAGTAAGTAAATGAACTGTGAACATCTCCTATTTATAGAATCCGAGAGCTCCTTGCCTGCACGAAAAACGAACACATGCTAAAATAATTAACCACTAAGATGAAAATAACTACCCACTAACTTAAACTAATAAATTTGATTTAAATAAATAAAATTGATTTTAAGAGCAACTCCAATGGTAGGTATTAAAATGAGACATCTAAATCATTAATTGATGCTTGAAATAATATTTTGGTACTTCGAAAAAACTTATATGTTCCAAATTCCAATCCGTAGGAACCAAATAAATTATTTTATTTTAAAAAATGTTTTACAGAAACTCATTCAACATATATCAGCTCCACCGAATCCATCTTGCTCAACATGCCCGAATTATTTGACATTTGATTAGACCAAGAATCGTTTAAATAATAACTTATTCCGGTACGACCCGATGAAAACATTCTAAACTACTAGTTCGATTATTAAATTAATATTACATAAATTAACAACCTCATTTAAATAATAACTTCTTCCGGTCCGACCCACTGAAGAACGTACTAAATTACTAGTTTGATTATTTAATATTTTACCAAATTAATAGAATTTCATCAGTCACGGTCGTAGTATTTCCTAATGTTATCCATAAAACCAAATGGAAGGTGCCCCCAAAAATTAAGTCCACCTGAAAAGAAAAGCAACTTCAAATCACATGTAACTAAAAAAAAAACCACTTTTCAAAAAAACAAAAAAAGAAAAAAAAAAAACAAAAAAAAACCAACCACTTTCCACTAGTTGATTATTTTCATCAAAACTCAATTACAATACAATATTGAACCATTAAAATCGATGATTTAAATCTCAACTTACAGAAATATTTCCAAGAAAAAAAAAACCATCATCAGACAATATCTGACCAAATCTACAGATTTTTAACTACAAGCAGTAGTAGTAGTAGTAGTATAAAAAAACCACGATAACCCGTGTCACACCCGATAAAAACTCACGCAGCCATCACAGCCGTTCGTTTGTGACCAATAACAGCCGATCGTTTGTAACCAATAACAGCCGTTCGAAGCTCATAATACTCACTCCGATAATGCTCGATCGAGCAGCAAAGCTGCCTTATCGCCTCTCGTTTTTCCTCCGCCCCTTCTAATATAGCTTTTTCTTTCCTCTCAACCTCCAGTTCGAGCTCTTCAACTCTCGACTTCAACTCCTCAGCCGTTTTACGAGCCAGCTCAGCATGAACACTCATTCGAGCAATTTCGTCATCTTTCGAACTAATCTCCTCACCAAGATCAGAAACCCTAGCATTTAAATCGTCTTTCTCAGCCACTAATACTCCATACTTCACGTTCAATTCCTCGATTTTTTCGTTTAATTCTTCAATACGTTCGTTTCTCTCAACAATATCAGCTTTCAACTGCTCGATTTCAGCTCCGAGTGCGGCCTTGGCTCGCCTTAAATCCTCCTCCAACAATTGGCATCGTAAATCCATTTCTTTAATATTATCCTCCAAATAACTCCGCTCCTTTTTCAATAACGTCATATCCGATTGAAGCTGCTCGTTTTCTTCCGATAAGCTCTTGTTCGCATTCGACATTGCCTCCTTCAAAACCCTGATTTCTTGATCTCGGTCCGACAGATTGTTCTTGTACCTCGTCATTCGGTCGAGCAGCTTCGAAACCTCTCGTTTCTCCTTCTCGAGCTTCGTTTTCCAAACGGGCCCTTCCTTTTGAGCCGTTTTAAGCTGTTCTTGCAGATTCTGTATTGAAGAGGTCTTGCTCGCAAGTTCTTGCCTTAAGCCCGCCACCTCCTCCTCGAGGGCCTGCATTGTCTGGGCCAGGCCCTCTTCACCTTCTAGAAGCTCTATGGAATCTTTCTGCTCGATGACTGGATCAGCTCCCTCGGATTTATATTTGTCGAGCTCGATTGTCAAACGCACGATTTCTTCTTCTGATTGTTCGATTTTCGCCTTTGCGGATATCAATTCTTCTTCGTACGCCGCCAGACTGGCGGAAAAGGAATCCGGGGTTGTTGTAGAACCTTCAGCAACCTCCTTCACCTCAAGAAGCTCGTTTTCGAGTTCGATAATCCTCATACGCAAACCTTGTTCAGTCGAGTAATTATTCACCGAAGAATCGTCAGATTCGGATTCCGAATCGAGGGTCGAGGATCCGTCTCCTTTGCTGTTTAAATCCGAACCGCAGCTTCCGCCGCTTCCGAGGAAGAAATCGAAGCCGGCGGCACGTGGGCCCGACTTGGTACGGGCGGGCCTTTGATCGGGCGACGGTTCGGATCCAACGTCGGAGGATATTCCGGAGCCTTGTGATTGGAGGTCGGAGGGAATACTCTTTTTCAATTCTCCCGTCACGTGGTCGTACCGCTCCGCCAGTGATCGGTATATTCGGTAAAATTCCTCGACGAGGGAGATTAGCTCGGGCCTCTTCTTGAAGTAGAGTTCGGCTTTTTTGGCGAAAGAATCGGCATCTTCTTCTATCAGTTTTAGCATCTTTTTGACTTGCTGGTCCATTTCTGTGATGGCACAATTTTCTCGATTAAAAACAATATATAAAAAAGAATTTTTGCAGTCGAAATTTCACATTCGTAAACGAGATTTCAAATAGTAAATGTGAAATTCGGTGCATGATAAAAATACGTTCCTAAAATCAATTATCATAATATTCGACGACCATTTGTATAATTTATACATATATTCGAAAAATAAATCAAGAATTCGTTTTCGTAAACCACAAAATTGTAGTACCTTCGAGATTTTCTTGTAGCCACTTAGAGTTCTTTGGACTAATGTGACTATCCCACCACCACGAATGGGACTTCTTCGATTCCATTCTCCTCATTCTATTGGATTTCCCCTGAAAAAGGAAGTAGATAAAAAATTATATTAATATTTCAATAAAGTATTTCCCGTTATTTCATTACTCGAAGCTCTCATCATGACGTCATCGGACTAAATTATTACGATTCAAAATTATTAATTTCAATAAACCCTCTCATAAACAAATCCAACGCACTCGATTCGACGTGCAAGATTTCTTTTTAAGTTCTTGAAATGAAAATATATGGAATTATTCAGTTTCTTACAAAAGCCGATGCCATTATTGCAAGCTCGATAGTCGATACAACGACCTGCAACACAAATATAACAAGACTGAATTTATATCGATGAAATGAATTCAAGAACAAGAGTATCAGTCGGTAAATATAACACAACCATTATCGAAATAATTATAATTCGACAAAAAAACGCAAAGACATACATACGCACACACAATATAACAGCAAGAAAATTCACGCGAGCCAAATTAATTCAAGAAAATACCGTCGGAGACGAAAAAAAATAAATCGAAATCTTTATTACATGCCAGCAAATTTGTTAACTTGGACAAATGAATGAATAAGCTAACAATATTGCAAGGTGGGAAGCCACCCTACCCCTACCCACCCCAACTCAATAAACCCAAAAATAATAGAAAAAAAAATAAAAAAAAAAATGGTGGGGTGTGGCCCACCTGCACATGAAGCACGTTGCCTAAGTCAATAGAGAAATAATAATAGATTCAATTGAAGCTTTGAGTATTGGCATTTGGCACAACTGTACTCCTCCCACAATACCAGCTAATTGTTCTTTCACATCTTAACCATAACTATTTATTTGTAATTTAATTATACTTTCCATTTTCTACAAACAGAAAAATATTATATAGTTTTTTTTTAATTAAAAAAAAATAATAATTCAATTATTAAAAAAAAAAAAAAAAACCCAAAATATCCAAAAAAAAAAATAAAAAAATCCTTTGTTATTTACTAAAATAAACCCAAAATATTTATTAATATAGTTACTCACCTTTTGAAGAATTCAATAAGAAAGGGGCAAAAAAAAAAAAAAAAAATTTAATAATTTTATATATTTGACTGGGAAAGAGGGGCACCCAACCACCAGAAGAATCAACAGACAATTTTCTCAGAAAACATGTGGAACAATTTAATGGAGGTGGACAACAAATAAAGGGGCTTGTTTGTTCTTTAAACAAACAAGCTGAGAAATTGACCAATCAACAATTAATTCAAGAACAAGTTATTCTCCACAATTAATTTTCTAAAAAATAATAATAATTAACAATAAGATCAGAAGAAAATAAAGGGTTTTCTGATTCCAAAAATCACAAGAAGAAGATCTTCTTTGCAACCTCCAATTTTTTTTCAAGATTCCCACACACACACAGAAACACACACACTGAGTGTATCAGTAAACATACCTCAGATCAAGAATATTAATATATTTTTTTTTTCAATCAACAGATGCCCATAAATAAGGAGAGATGTCTGGATTTTGAATAGCGGGAGAATAATGAAGACTGAGCCCAAAAAGAAAAAGTACTGAAAATTAATAAAAGTCTTACCTTTTCTTTAGACTAATTCTTGAAAATCCCACGAAATAATATTTTAGAGATATAGAGAGAGAGAGAGAGAGAGAGAAGATCAAAGCCTATGCAAAACTCCGGCGAGAAAGAGAGGAAATACGCCTTTTTGTTTTTTTCCGAATTTTAGGTGGAGCGGAGCGCACTGTATTTGTATCTGTATCTAGAGAGAGAGAAAGAGAGAGGAGAGAGAGAGAAAGAGACGGGCACCATATACGGGGGAAAGGATTTGGTCAATAAAGTCAAAAGCTTTTCTTATTATCTTTTCATATTTTCTCACTGTCTGAAAAACAAAATTGAAAATTATGAGCTGATACGAAATTTGATTTTGAGATGACAGCTAATAAGATTAGAATACAAATTTTTATTGAGCAATAATAGTGTGTAATGTTAATTAAATTCCAAAATATATTCTATTCAAAAAGTATTTTTTGGTGGAGATTTTTATTTTGAAAACAAAATTATTATTTCAAATTTTGTCTAGTAGCTAAGAGACATGAGATGTGACAAATAAGTTTAATATTCCTTTATTTTCGAGGTCGATTGGAAATTGCACTAAAAGACGAAATCTCTTGTCCAGAATCCCTTTGATCGGATATGTAAATCGTGATAATTCAACAACTCGTTAAGATATTAGATTTGCATCTGGCACCCACAAAGTTTTAAATGACTCGTGAGTATAATAGTACAAAATTAAGAACATTATATTTTTTTTCTATTGGTATATTTTTATAAAGGATTTTAAGATTATTTTGATGAAAATATATTTTGTAATAAATAATTAAGAGTAAAATTCTTACCAATGGAATGTCTCGTAAAGAAAATTATTAAATTAGAGAGTGTAGAAAATATTTCATTTTAGTTTCTTGAGGGTAATTCTATAAATATATATATAAGTACATAACAAACTAGACATGAAATAATTTTAAATAATAAATAAAAATATTGCAGAAATAAAAATAAAATTTGAGTTCCTATTGAGAAATTGACTTTGCAGCTTATGACAAGTAGATTGTTAGAAAATCCACATAATTAAAATTGACCATCCAAAAATCTACTTCAACAATTTTAATTTTATTTTGCTTAATACAAATAAAGTTTGAGTTACTTAAATCAATATGATAGGTTGTGGATTTTTCATTACTAAAAAACCAAAAATAATGTCATCAATGAAATTCAGTAGTGCGTTGCTCCTTCAATCCTACGAGATATAAAAGGAATGTGTTGGCTTGTTCAACCAATTGCTTTCAAATAAATAAATCTTAATAATGATTATTTAAAAATTAATTTATACCTCAACCAAAAGCTAATTCAAATGGGTGAAAGTCGGTTCGAATCAGGACATTTTATTTAGCATAACTCTAACAACATGTTACTCAAAAAAAAAAAAAAAAACTCTAACACCATGTTGAATGACTATCTCAATTAGGGGTGGACCCATGTGAAAATAGGAGGCTTCCGCCGCTTCATAATTTTTTTAAACCTACTTTCTATTACTTTGTTATGTTATTTTGGTATGAATATATTAATTTATAGACTTTGGCCCCTCAAAGATTTGAATTTATACATTTTTACCGCATAAAAATATTTTTTCTTTCTCTTAATTCATATCCATATTTTGGTCTCTAGGTCCGTCTCTGACCCCAAATAAAAGTTTAAATTTTTAGTAAAACGTATCATTCAATATTAATATTTCAATTAAATAGAATTAAGAATTTACACTTTACATAACTACTTTATTTTATTTTCTACTATGTAATATTATTATAAAAATGATTAAATTTGTAGTAACTATTATCTCAAAGGGATAGTTCTAACTAATTTTTGAAAAAGTTAAAATCAAATATTATTGCAAGTAACTGATCCTGACTGATCACATTCTATATTACTTTGAGCTATGTTTGAGAATGTTGATAGAGTTGATCGATTAGATTGAGTAAACATATATTGTTACTAATAATGTAACTGACCAGGTTAAATATTTATTCTGCTTCGTGATTGGTATATGTTTAAATAAGATCTGCAAAATAAGAGAAGAAAGGCTCAGACTTAGGTCAGAGTTAACACTTCGACAACTAAGTCGGTGTTTTCTTTGATCGTTCAAATTCGTAGTTTATGAGTGATCAGGTGGGCGTTCTTACCTTATATGGCTCTATGTGCATTGTATTTGAGGACGATCGAACTCCAATTCCACATTCAATTAAGTTTAATCCGTCTAAACACTCGAGTAAAAAATATCTTCGGACCCCAAATTCTATACTAATGCCATTTACTATGTTTTGTCAATTTATTGACTACATGTGCCAAAAGTAACAGACATTCCCTAAAGTGACTATAACGGGAAGTTCATTAAATGTTGCCATACAAATGGGCAACTACAATTTTGCTTCTCGCTAGTTGATCGCTAGTCTTCTCGAAGACCACTACGAGAGGCCTTCTCACCAGCTCATTTCGCTGCTCGCCTATTTATCCCCTCTTGGGTGCTTTGTTTTCATGTGTTTTTCCCTACTTTGAGCTAACTTTTGTAGAGAGCCAAAATATTGGAATATTCCCAAATTAGTATCATAGATTATTTCGCGTTATTAAATATTACGACATGCTTGTATCGTGTAATGTTTATAATCTATTGTGTGGGGATATATTTAGAATAATTCTTAATATTATTTTTAAAATATGGGATCGCATTTTTTCTTATCACAAGGGTTGGAATGTAATTTGATTTATATACACAAATCACACACATATTTTTCTTTGATACATACAAATCACATGTACTTTTTTATTAGAAAAATGGCTGAGAAATAAAAAGTTTTCAAATTTAAATTTAAATAAACAATAAATTGATTTTAAATCGTGAGACTATAGCACCGTGAATATGAAGAAACATAATCAACCCGATCAGTACAATTGACACTTTGTATTTTATTGTAAGAGTCGAAATAAATAAAAAATCGAAGTGTCTTTTCATAATTTCTCTTGTAATAAAATTCAAATTACTCAAAAAAATCTAAGAAAATTCATGGAGATTGATATATAGTACAAACGTGATTTGGTGAGGAATCAAGATCAGATAGATAATGGTGGATCATTTTGGATCGCATCATTAAAACCTTGAATAGGGTCAAATGCCAAGATCCAAACATTCAATTGTAACAATCAACGTTGATAGAATCGGACCGGTTCGACTGTGACCCGACGAAGAGGTTGTCCTTAAAAATCGGGGTCAAATGACCAAAACTCGATTCAATCGGGTAAAATTCGGGAACCGGTGAATTGGTCAAAGAACCTGATTTTCGACCAAAACAAATCAAACTACCGCTGAGTTGATTATTTGTGGTTAGATTTGAGCAAACATTATATTCACGGACTTAGTTGTGGGCGGCCGGATCTAGTCATGGATGGTCAAAGGATCGTCAGATATGTTCATGGGTGATCGAATAGAGGTGGCTGGATCTAATCATGGGTGGTCGAATAGAGGTGGCTGGATCTAATCATGGGTGGTCGAATGATGGCTTGATATGGTCATGGGTGATCGATTGCCTGATTTGAAGAATAAAAAATGGGAACATGTAAAGTGTAAACAAAAGAAATATAGTAACAAATGGGGTGAGGTAGATAAAAGTGAATAATATGTGGAAAATTAAAAAAATAAAAAGAAAGTATTTTTAAAATATTAAAACTAATAAAATTAAAAAATTAAAAAAATCAAAAACTCAGTTGAACCGATTTGATCCTATAAAACCATAACCCATATGGTCGTTCGGGTCCATACCCGGTCCGATTTTGACAACATTAGTAACAATATGTCAAATTCGAATTTGAAATAATAATAAAATGAATAAATAAATAAATCAAAGTTTGTATATTATGAATTGATTAGTGTTAATTATAAGATGTAAATAAACTTAACCTTCAAAGAGCGGTATTCATTTTAATCTCAATTGCTAAAAACGTCTATGTGTTATAAAAATTAGCAAAAAATTCCCCTATGATTAAAAGTCAAAGGCAAAAAAGTCCCTTAGAGCTGCTCGTGGTACGCACGCGGGGTTGTGCGGTTCTTTTTGTAAATTTTGGGGTAAAATAACATAAACACTCTTTTATTATACGTAATTGTATGCTAAATTTGATGTAATTATAAATAGTTCAAATTCAAAGGATCAAGTAGCAATTTTCAAAATCTTAAAATCGTAATCTATCTTCTTTCTCCCTCGCCCTCTCAACTCCACCCCTTGGAAAAAAAAATTCCAGCACCTTTGAAAAAAGAAA